TTGATAGTCATTGTTTCCCAAGATATAAATTAGATGGTAATTAACGAGAGTAGTTAATGACAGATTCCAAAGAGATCCAGATTAACACTTATCGGTCGGGCAAATACTAGTAGCTGCTCTTGATGAAGTTCTCATCAACATTACAAGGTTGGTCGAAATGTAAGGATATTTACAACAAAGATTAGGCCTATCGTCATAACTGGAAACTGCACTCTACTGGTTTATAGGTCAATTATGCCAAATTCTATGAAATTTATCATTGAAGCATTTTCTAGTCACTTTTGTTCTTTAATCTTGTGAATATTTCATCGATATTGAGTAGAGCCGTTGGTTGGTCATTGCTGGTCAGTTGGTCGTCGCAGTTAGGCCTTCCTTGAGTTGGCAAGATTTGGTTTGCGTTTCGCAACAAGTTTATGGAAGGTGCGTTAAAGTGCACAGTAGCAATACCAGTACATGGACATCCAGATTAGAACAGTACCAAAGGAATAATAATGCAAAAGATATTTATTAAATTTAAAAGATTCGATTTTAGGTATCTGTGCTTAGATTTAGTGCCCTCCACGATTCCATAAAGTATGAATTCGCTCGCGGCGTTCCTTTGGTGATTAGATCTACATATTGTAGGGGGAAGTCGAAGACCAATTCAATACCACAACTTGTTTCCAAGGCGGCACCCGTCTACTGGGTTGAAAGAGATATTGAAAATAGAACTTTATAATCTTAAAATATTAGGCCGCACTGTAAAAATCAAAATAAGCAATTTAAGTCTTAAATTAATTCGTAAGGTATTATTGACCACTTGAGTGGCAGTTCGTACATCTTAAAGAGAAATAGGCTTTTCAACTCAAGGTGTCAAACAATGATAAACCATGGAGGAATAGTCACATTATATTCAAAATAGCTTGTTTTATTTTCATATTTGTTATGTGTTATTAGATTTTAAAATAAAACAAAAAATACTATTAGGCCTATTTTAATTATGGAATCCCCGTCGGTCAGCAAGAAACAACATATTCATTTCTAATTTATTTAGTTTGTTCTGAAGTAATAATATATAGGCCTATCTATGAATATATATATGTATGTGAAGAAAATAAATAAATTATTGGTTTATTTCAAATTCAACAGCACTTCAATAGTCAGCCATATTTAAACACACACAGCGTATGGTCAGCTTGGAACGAGTTTTCTACGTGTTCACGCAGCTGTGGAGGCGGAGCTTCATTCAGAACAAGACATTGCGCGAGCAGGTAAGCATCTGTAATTAGAACATAGTGTACATATATAAGGTAATTATTTCCAATAATGTTCTTTGATCATAGTCATCGCCTAACAGTTTATTTATACAACATAATGCAGAAGTTAATGCACAACTGAGGGAAATAATTTATGGTTCAAAATATCCATTGCTTTTCTTCTAAATGAAATATTAACATAAAATAATATTACAAAAATGTATAAATATATCATTAAACAACATGATAGTCTAGTTACTGTAAACAATTATGGATTTTTTTTATATAGGCCTACAAGTACAGAATAGCCAAAACTATTTACATTAAGATAGGCCTATCATATAGGCCTATCTTTGATTTACTAAGCTTTTATTGCAAAAAATTGTAGTAACACTACTTATAAGATGAAAAGAAACCGCTTTCCACAGGTATGCAGCAGGGGATCAGTGTTCTGGAACGGTCGTCTTAGGAATTGGCTTAGTACAAAACCTCCTGGAATGTCACAATAGATTCTGGGCGAGATCTGTCATATGCTGTGGTTTATGATTAAAGGCAGGATTATCGTAGTTGTCAAATATGATAAAGTCTAAAATTTCAAAATAAAATGCCTACGTACATTCCGGAATTCGTTTATTGTACTGTATATTGTATAAGTTATGAAAACGGATGTAATCGGCGTCAGAATAATAATTATATGGAGTAAAGTGAGTAGGAGTTCACTGCCCGTTTCTCCTCACCGTTACCAACAGCGGCGGAAGGAGGGGGGGGGGGTGGAGAGGATGGGCCATTCTCTTTTTGAGTTGAACAAACCAGTGTGTAAAGTGTAAAGTCTGTAAAGTTTCCTTGAAACGAGCATGAAAAAAATCGAATAGCTCCCCTGCCTGCCTTGCGTAAATTCTGTATTGAGGCACAGGGCATAGGTAGGCACTACTTATGCTGCGACGCCCTAGTTCTGTTTATGTTAACGATGAGGATGTAAGTGTAACTCATTGTCTTACGGTAAATATAACCACATTTAAATTCCATCTAATTTAACGAAAATAATAAGATACTTAATTAGGCTATTATTAAAATAAAGTTCTCTGAAGGTTACTACAGAATTTATAGTACATTAATTATTATTACGGTATAGGTTGTAAAAAACTGTAGTGAAAACCTTTTCGCTTGACATTACGAATTAATCATTTGTGAAATAAAATGACAGGCTAGGTCAAATGTTTTATTAAACAGTGGCGGAGCCCTAAATTTTCAAAATTATTTAAAAAGATACAGAAAACAGAAAATGTATTTAAATTTAAATCTGATAGTGCCATTTCCGGCCGTCTAGAGGTGCCATAATCATAATTTTTTTTTGCCTCAGCCCCAAACTGGGTGGGGCTGAGGCATGTGGACACTCTATCTGTGCAACTCCTATATTCGAGTTCCTGCACCAGCCACTGTTGAAGTACCATTTCCGGGCCTCTGAAAGGGTAATAATTTATCCATTACTGGGAAAAGAGAAGGTTTCGTTGGGAAATACCATATCAAGAATACCCCTCACATGATGAATAATTCATTGTGAACGTGGAAGCAACCTCGACTTCGACTTATTTCGGAAAATACGGAAATTATGAATTCATATTAATATTACATAAAAACAATAATTCACCGAAATTTGTCAAATATGCATAGATTCCAAGGGCTTCACCCCTCCCTCAACTGGGAGCCCTTGGCGGCCCCCTGGTCCCCAGCGTAGATGCTCGCTTCGTTCGTATACTGGATTTATTACCTTATGAAAGCGCCCCCCCCCCCCCGACTTTCAAAAGCGTTCCGCCGCCGTTGACCGTTACACAAACTTGTATGCCTACTGTTTCAATATTACTATTTTAAACATACTCAGTTGAAGATATTATATATAGAAAATAACAATATAGGAAAAACTGCTCTTGTAATAACAGATAATCACGCTCGGAAAGAGAGAACGAAATTAAATTCAGGACCCAGACATATAATAGCCATGCCTTGATATGCAGTGG